GGAAGCCCACCTCGAGAACTCACAGGTAAACTGGTCTGGGAAGTTGTCCAGGGGTTCCAGGAATGGGAGCCGGGAACAACAACTCAGTGGGACTGGCAGATGTCCCTGATACACACCTATACACATACACATGCATGCGTGTGTGCGCACACACAGAGGATCATATCTCTGTATAATAATCCTCTTGGCGTACTGGCCGTTTCCAGCTCTCCCACTGGCTGTGCAATGTGCTCCATCAGCCATTGGCCCATCAGTCGCCACTCAAAACTACTCACATGCCATTGGCTGGATGCTGAGTCTGCTACTCTTCCCCGACCACTCCCACTTCAGCCACTGTTCCCTGTCAGAATAACTGGCAAACGGCTCTCTCTCCTGACGAAGGCACTTCTCCTGCTTGGCTCCTCTGTGGGACTAACTTTTCCCTCAGTGGTTGTTGGTAGGTAACCAAGCTTGGTTCTGTCAGTAAAAAGACAAAGGAAGGAAACCCTTTCCAGGCCTTTGTGAGGAACTCATTGGGGCCAGTCCTGACTAGGGTTGCCAGCTCCAGGTTGGGAAATTCCTAGATATTCCGTGTCTTATTTATTTATTTATTTATTTTCCAGCTTTTTTTACCCCGCCCTCCTGGTCGAAGCGGGCTCAGGGCAGCTCACATAAAAACAGATAATTACATTAAAACATAGTTGTGGTTAAAACAAATATAAAATCCTAATAAAGTGCTAGTACTTAATAGTCATATAGCGGTATCAGCCAGTGTAGAACGTTCTCCACTCACAGTCAGCTCTCGATGTTAGTTGGATGTCCCTGCAGGGTTCGCTGTTCTTTAAGGCTGTTGATGGCAGTTTTCAGGATCCAGGGCCCTCTCCTTTTTAACCAACTGATGTTATTTATTGGTGGTGGCGGCTCCCAAAAGCCTGGCGGAAGAGCTCTGTTCTAGAGGCCCTGCAGAACTGTAAAAGGTCCCACAGGGCCCTGATCTTCTTTGGAAGCTCATTCCACCAGGCTGGGGCCACCACTGAAAAGGCCCTGGCCCTGGTTGTTGACAGCCTAGTGTCCTTAGGACCCGGGAGGGCCAACCGATTCTAAGGAAGCCAGTCTAAGGAAGCCAGAGTTTGGGGAGGGGAGAGGCCTCAGCTGAACAAAATGCCATAGAGCCCAAGCTCCAAAGCAGTTATTTTCTCGGGGTGGGGGGGAGAAAGAGATCTGTTGTGTGGAGTTCTGTTGTGATACCCGGCGATCTTCAGGCTCCACCTGGAGGTTGACTACCCTAGGCATAGGGTTCTTGCTGTGGAAGCTGTGATTTCGGACCAGTCACAGACTTTCAGAGTAACCCCCTCCCCCGCCCACTGCCAGCTTGGCCACTTTCCTGTCTGAATAAACTGTGAAAAATTGCTAGACAACCAAGATTGGTTCTGTCAGTAAAATACGGCTGTTCGTTGAATTTATTTCCACAATGGGCCTTATACACACACACACATAATTATACACACACACACACACAAACACGAGACCTGTATTTGAAAGAGTGATCTTTGACTCACAGAAACTCACACTGGAATCAAGGCTCGTAGTAAATAAGAAGCCAGATGGAGCAAGTGTAGAGGAGCTTCAATACACCATAACTTATCAGTATTTGATAGAGCTCTCCTCTGGTGAATAAAAGTATTCCTAAAGTATGATCTAAAGATGTGTACCAGAATCAATCGCTCACATCTTGTTCAGCCGTGAATTTTATAATAGGGTTCAGGATGTTTTAATCAGCCCCCTTCTGGATAATAAGCATAGTCTACCTGAAGAGAGACTTATATCTTTCCTTTTATCAGATCTCCGCCCTCATATGACTTTCTCAGTAGCGCGATTTCTCTCTATCGCTATTATTTATTTATTTATTCGCATTTTTACCCCGCCCTCCCAGCGAACGGGCGGCTCACACAGGGGCATAAGCCCATACATAAAACAATAAAAACCATTAAATCACAACAACAGATAAAGTGCTCCATGCAGACAAGATGGTCTCTGAGGACGGTAGCAATCATTTCCTTAGGTGAGGGTAAGAGAATATAAGGTCAAAGCCCTGGAGGGTTCACTGTTTTTATATTAACACATTTTTATTTGTATCTTAAAATGTGATCCATGCTGTATTTTATCTATGCCAATAAAGGTTGACTGACTGACTGATAAGGATGCACATTCTGGGGTCACTAATTGTGTTATAACTTCAAACACCATGCCAAGTTCTCTGTTCTTGAATATCTTCTTAGAATTCATAAGAACTTTTTTTTCATTCTTGCTACTGGTTCACCATTACAAAGCCTATCTAAAAATAGTAATCACATGTTTCTCATATCTATGAATATGTGTTGGCCCCCATCTTTGAACTCTAGCTTCACTTCTGCACAGTTTGGACATTTTTGCCATTCTCAGACGTCCTCCCTCCTCCTGGGCCTCGACCAAATAATATCCACTGATATGGGTTAAATGGTTTCCAGTCTACAAGAGGCCATGTTATTACTGTATCACTCCTTTGCTTCTTACCCCTCTCCAACATCCCTTGTTGGCATGATCTCTGCGGTCAAGGCCAGCAGCTCTTCGCCTGTATTCCTGTCCTCTGGTTAATAATGTTAAGGAAGTATTACGGCTCAACTCTGGAGCGCCTGGGTGGTAAAGAGCGCAGGGATCTATGGAGGAACGCCCAGACACGACGGCCACCCCTCTGCAGCACTATTCCACTGTCAAAGCCACGGGGACATTTTGCAAAGGAAATGTGGTGTTATCGCTTACCTAGTTTTTTCTTTTTTTAAAAAACAACCTGCCGGTGCACTGATCCCGTCGCTCCTTCCCCTGACACAGCGGTAGTCGATCCCCATGCGCTTGGGACAACCGATCAGGACATGACGGCGGCAAGTCACCTGGCCCTTCTCGGTGGACGGCTCTCTAGCAAGGGAGACTCTGTCCAATTAACCCTTGCATTGACTCTCTACAGAGGGCCCCCTATTCCATCCCAGCTTCAGCTCGCTCTTGTCTCCAAGATCCTAAGGAAGGCCTCCTGAGGTTCAGAATTTGGGGGGCGGACGGGGGGAGGCAGCAAGTCTGGAGTGACTGGAGGCAAAGCGATCCCTCTGTAGATGTTGGGAAAGTACCATCTTTTGTTCCCCAAGAATTGCATGGAATATGCGGAGAACCTTCTGGTCCTCCGGCATCGGCTGTTGTGCTCCTCCCAAGAGGAAGGGGTTGTTTTTTTCTGGGTTGTGGCTTGATTTTTGGAGGGCACGTGGGGGGGGACTCCTCCCCCACCAGATGTGCACGGGAAGGAGTCGGGTTTCATGGTCCCTGGATCCAGTTTTTCTTAGGAACAAGCCCGGGGAAGCTACGTAGGTTCCCGTCTGAGTCCAGCGGCACCTTTAAGACCAACAAAGTTTTATTCAAAGTATAAGCTTTCGTTTGCAAGCACACTTCTTCAGATAACAGTGGAATAAAATTTCCCGAAGCCCTACTATTCCGTTGTAACTGAGGAAGTGTGCATTGCACATGAAAGCTTACACTTTGAATATAGGGTTGCCAAGTCTGGATTGGAAAACACCTGGAGACTTTGGGGGTGGAGCCAGGAGAGGGCGTGGTTTGGGGAGGGGAGGGGCCTCAGCATAGTACAATGCCATAGCGTCTACCCTTCAAAGCAGCCATTTTCTCCAGGGGAGCTGATCTCTGTCGGCTGGGGATCAGTGGTAAAAGCGGGAGATCTCCAGGCCCTACCTGGAGGCTGGCACCTGGCAATCCTATTTGAATAACACTTTGTTGGTCTTAAAGGTGCCACTGGCCCTGAAGCAGCAGAACCTTTGTTCTGCTGCTTCAGACCAACACGGCGACCCACCTGAATCTAGTTCTCCGTCTGGTCAGAGTCTGGCGGAGAGGCCTGTTGAGAATGCTTTGTTAGCTTGCCTGTTCCTGCCTCGAGACGACGAGGGCTGGTCTAGATGACCTCTAAAGTCCCTTCCAACTCTCTGTTTCTGACCCTGACGTTAACTGAAGAATCCCCTGCTTTAGAAGGCTGGTCAGAAAACTAGCAAGCCTGCTGTGATACAAAGGCTGCTGTGAGTGTGTTTAAGAGAGCTATAGGTGACATTATGCACCGCTAAGTCAGACCACAGTTGGGTAGCTCCAACACCTGCTTCTTTTGGCTCATTATCAATGTGGGTACTTAAGCATTGGATTTTTGTTTTATCTTGTAAAGGACAGACTAACACAGACATCCCTTTGCAGTCATCATCCGTTCACCGGCTGCTTGTTATTTCACTGTCTGGATAGACATAGGTCTTGTTTCGACTTCCCAAGTATGGAAGACAGCGAATTGCACCATTTCATCTGAGCACATTCTCAGGTATCTGACGGCAGGTTCACAGTTCCCCCTCTTCTTGGCATGCTGAAGGTCCCGGGTTCAATTCCCAGCATCTCTCCTTCTGGGAAAATTCTGAGTAGATTGTGTAGCTGGTGTCAAAGGCCTCAAACTGAGATTTGGGCAGGGAAACAGATCAAATATTCAGCTGACAGGAGATGGCAGCTGTCAAACGAGACGTATTCAGCTACTGAGTTTGCCACGAATTTCCTGGCTTCTCTGTTTATACTAGGATCGCCAGTCCTCCGGGAACAGCTGGGTGTCGCCGGGGATTGATTTGGAAGTTATGGGCCCGTTGTACAGCTCAAAGCAAGTGCTTTAGCACTGAGCCAAATAGGTGATTAACTGCTGAGCAATGGCCGAGGGTGGACTCTATGGCCTTAGATTCCTGCTCAGGATCCTCTCCAAAACCTGACACACACCACCATAGCCTCCACTCCCAGATCTCCAGGGCTGGAGTTGGCACCCATACACTGACTCATAGGCCTAGGACCTTGCTCTAGATTTTTCCTCAGGGTTGACATTTCCCAGATACTCTTCCAGGCCTGGTTGAACTGAAGTGGAAGGGTGGGACAATGACTGCAGAAGGAGGAGGAGGAGATTGGATTTATACCTCACCCTTCACTCAGAATCTCAGAGCGGCTTACAAACTCCCTTTCCTTCACCTCCCCACAACAGACACCGTGTGAGGTAGGTGGGGCTGAGAGAGCTCTCCCAAGAACAGCTCTGACAGAACTATGGCTTGCCCAAGGTTACCCAGCAGCTGCAAGTGGAGGAGTGGGGAATCAAACCTGGTTCTCCTAGGCCCCTGCCACAGGGCAGGGAAAACACTGGGCAAAGCGCAGCTTCTAAAAGCCGCACCAAAAAAGAGACGCCGCGGCGGGATCCCACGATCTCGAGCCACGGCACCATTGCTCCCCGGCACGATCAGATGCCGGGGAGGAAGAGATGAGTGGGAGGGGGAGGCTGCCGAACTGCGCATGCTCGAGCATGCGCAGTACGGCCGGGGGCCGGGGATGCGCCGGCGATCCCACGGCCGGCAGTGATGTGGCCCTTCGGAAAGGTAGGTGGTTGTTTTTTGCTGCGGGTTTTGGCCAAGAGGGGCGGATTGGGAACGGGCTGGGAACGGGCGCAACACAATTCCCAGATGTTGCTGTGGGATCGCGCCTGTTTTCTACGGCCCCAATCCGTCCCTCTCCCAGCCCAAACCATCTCGTGTGAACAGGGCCCTAGATTAGAATCCACACACTTAACAACTACTACACCAAACCGGCCTTTAGAAAATGAAAATAAGACAGTCCCAACTAGTGGTGTTCTCCTCCCAGGAGCTGGGAGGCAGGGCATCCCTCACTCAAGGGGGACGTCATACCCCTGGAAAGGCCAAAAAATCCAGGAAAGTGGGGATCAGTGAAGCAGCCAATGTTCATATAGCCCTATAATTGGGAACACAACCCGTTAAAACTTTTTTCCTCTTTACAAGTGGGGTTTTCTGGATGAGTCTTGTCAGGCCCGATTCAGATATAGGTTGACGCTTAAGAAATCCTAGGCATCTTATAACCTTTCCTGTATCAAATCATTTTGTTCCTGGGAAGAGGCACACCTCAACAACACTTTTGGTTTGTTACAGGTCTAGTACACAAGTGATACTATTAGAGGATCTTTATTCTTTATTGCAACATAACTATTTGCATCTTTAACAATGTCTAAGTCAAAAGAAAACTAGATCATCCTTCAATGCTACATTGATAATTAAAGGAAAGGTATTACATGAGTCCATAACATCATCTTACCCAAAGAAAAGCATGTCACATGCAAGATGCTTTTCTAAGATGACGTTCCCAATCAATTCAGTTTCTCATATTTACAGGTTGTTAACATCTCCTCCTAAACAAAGACTTCTTTGGGGTTTTTTGGCTGTCCCCCTTGATAAGGATGCACATTCTTGGCTAATTCATTATCGTATAACTTCAAAGACCATACAAAGTTATCTGAAGCGCAGTATCTTCTTAAAATATATTTAATGTTTTTAGATCCTTGTGACTTTTGACCATAACCAAGTCCATTTGAAAATAGTTCTAACAAGTTTCTCCTGTCTATGAGTATCTCTTGGCCCTCAACCAGTAAACCCCCCCCCCCCAAATCTTTGAACTGTACCTTCACTTCTTTGAAGTTTGGGCATTTTTGCCATTCTCAGATGCTTTCCCTGCTGGCCTCAACAAATAATATCCATGGATATGGGTTAGACTGTTTCTGACTGTGTCACTCCTTCATCTCTTCCTCTTCTCCAAGGCTGTTCTATTGTGGGTCTCTAGACTCCCTTGTTGGCATCTTTTGCTGAGAAATTAGGCCCATTCAGGTTCTGACCAGCAGAAATATCATCCAGGACCTTTCTAGTCCAGCAACTCTTCCCCTACGTAACCGGCTGTATCCGTGACACTAGAAGGGGACGCTCCATCCATGACAACCCATGATGACCCCCTTTCTGAAACATATACTACATGTAAGATTACCAGTTTGGTGTAGTGGTTAAGTGTGCGGACTCTAATCTGGGAGAACCGGGTTTGATTCCCCACTCCTCCACTTGCACCTGCTGATGTGACCTTGGGTCAGTCACAAGCCCTGGCACAGCTGTCCTTGAAAAAAGAGCAGTTTGTGTCAGAGCTCTCTCAGCCCCGCCCACCTCACAGGGTGTCTGTTGTGGGGAGGGGAAGGGAAAGGAGTTTGTCAGCCGCTCTGAGACACCTTTGGGTAGTGAAGGGCGGGGTATAAATCCAAACTCTTCTTCTTCTTCTTCTTCTTCTAGGGCAAGGGACTCCCACCCAGCTAGGACAGTCAGCAAGGGTTAAAGGATCTGGTTCCCACCGAATGGCATGCGTCTAAAAAAAAGGGGGGGGGGAGGATAGGAGGGGTTTGGAGGGTGAGGGGCGGTAGTGGGAGGAGATAGATTGAAGGAAACCACTCCAAGGCTGTAATGCGAAAATGAAACCCCCGGAGCAGACTGGCTGGAAATGCTTTAAATGTGAAATTGACAAAATGATCCGGGGCAGAAAACTCTGACGAAAACCAGGGGTAAGTGCCAAGTGAGAAATCGGCCAAGGTAAAATTTATGACTGGGGACTCCAGACTAGCCTCATGTGTTTTATTTCCTTAGCTCCACTATAGTCCTTTAGGCTGTGATATTCTTTCCCTATGTGCTGATGCTCTTGATTCTACAGTTGTGTAGCAATCAATAAAGATGTTGTCTCTTTTAAGAATTCGGTGTTCAAAGTGCTCTCCTCAAGTGCCTGGTCTGTTGTTCATGCATGCACAGAGAAAGAGGAGTGGGAGCATCCAGCCTCTCACACACAGAGAGACCCTTCCTGCACTCCCATCTGCAGGTAAACAGAAGGGCACTATTTTAATTTAGGGGGGTGGCAGAGTGATGGATAAGTAGGGTGGGGGGAAGGAGGAGGAAGCAACCACACTCCAGGCACATTCATGGAAGCCCCTCTATCCTGTCTTTTACAAGCCATGTCCTGCTTTTTACGGGAATAAAGCAGCGGCATATAAATTCTCTAAAGACCCAAAAGCAATTTCCTAACAAATTGGGAAACTGGGGCACTTCAGGTGACTAGCGGTGGTCTGGGGACAATCACCCACGGAAGTAAAGGGTGCAACACTGAAGCTTCCAGAAGGAACAGAGAGATTCAAAATTGGCCATAATTTTATAAACCTCTACCAGGCCCTCTCCCCCTTCTGGTCTCTTTTCTAAATGGAGAAATCTCAGACTCTTCAGCCTTTCCCCACAGGGTAAGCTCTGCAATATTCTTTTTGAGTTAAAGTGACCAAAGCGGGAGGTGCAGTGCCAAAAATTAGGGGAATCAGAACCTTCCGGGACAGATAAACTTGGTAACATGCCTCTGCTGTTAGTATTGGAAGCAAAGGTTTACTCCCGAGAAGGCAGGAATGGCAAGCAATGCAGACAGGAAGGGAGAAAATAGCTTCTCGGTTAAAATACAAAAGGGGCTTAGCAAGCGGGGCAGAGGACTTGGTCCTAAACAACATAATCTGTTAATCCAAAAGGGTTGCCACACTCATCCTCCATAAGATGTGTTGACAGTGTAGGGCAAAAATGTCAAATGTTATAATAACTTGTGATCAAAATATTTTAGCTGAGAACTGAACATGCCTTAACCAATATGAGTTCAAAAGGCTGTACAATATGGTCCTAATTTAGCACAAAAACTCCAGATGATGATGCCAGGTAAGCTAGGTGATGAGGCTGGAGATATTGCAAAACTAGAAATATTTGCACTGTTTCTCTCCTGGTGTAAAGTCTTTTATGCAAAACATGGCTTAGTATTTTTATGGTTTTTCCCCCGGGTGAATTTTTTGGTGTAACTTAACATATGCAGTTCGTCGATGGGTAGTACAATGTGGGTGCATTGATGGGTAGTACGCTGTGAACTCCAAGCAAAGCTCTTTCCACACTCCAGACATTCATACGGTTTCTCCCCAGAGTGGATTCGTTGATGTTTACTAAGCTGTGAACTACAAGAAAAGGTCTTCTCACAATCCGAACATTTATATGGTTTCTCTCTAGTGTGGATAACTTTGTGGGTAGTAAGCTGTGAACTCTGAGCAAAATTCTTTCCACACTCCAAGCATTTATATGGTTTCTCCCCAGTGTGGATACGTTGATGAGCAGTAAGGTCTGAACTCCAAGCAAAACTCTTTCCACACTCCAAGCATTTATATGGTCTCTCCCCTGTGTGGATTCGTTGATGAGCAGTAAGGTGAGAACTCTGAGCAAAGCTCTTCCCACACTCCGAGCATTTATATGGTTTCTCCCCAGTGTGGATACGTTGATGGGCAGTAAGATCTGAACTCCATGCAAAATTCTTTCCACACTCCAAGCATTTATATGGTTTCTCCCCTGTGTGGATTCGTTGATGGGCAGTAACGTGTGAACGTTCAGTAAAGCTCTTCCCACACTCTAGGCATTTATACGGTCTCTCCCCGGTGTGGATACGTTGATGGTTAGTAAGCTGTGAACTACAAGAAAAACTCTTTTCACAATCCAGGCATTTATATGCTTTCTCCCCAGTGTGGATTCGTTGATGGGTAGTAAGGTGTGAGTTCTGAGCAAAGTTCTTTCCACACTCCAAGCATTTATATGGTTTCTCCCCGGTGTGGATATGTAGATGGGCGATAAGGTGTGAACTCTGAGAAAAGTTCTTTCCACACTCCAAGCATATATATGGTTTCTCCCTCGTGTGGATGTCTTGATGGGCAGAGAGGTGTGAACTTTGAGCAAAGTTCTTTCCACACTCCAGGCATTTATATGGTTTCTCCACAGGGTTAATTCCTTGGTGTGCATTGAAGACCTCCAAATGGGCACCCTGAGACACAGAGCATTTGTTCTTCCTCTTCTGTTTTGTTCCAGTATATCTTTTCTTCTGTTTTCTGTCAAGTAGTTGGTGTTGTTGTTCTCCCTTGGACTTGCTCTGTGGACCATCAACCTCTAGAATAAAGAGAAAGCAATGGTAAGACTTTCAAGCAAAAGTGGAATGAAAGGAAGTACATTAACTGCTCTTGATAATGACAGGGCAGAAATTACTTGAAGGGGAAACAAATCCTGTCCCGTATTAATTAATTGCTGATTCTTCCTTACATGGTAGTTCCATGAGAGACAAGACGGATCAATGGAACCTCCTTCTATAGAGGCAGTATCCCTCTGAAGTGGGACACTTAGGATCTCCTCCTCTACTTGGGTAGCTATGGTGCAACCTCATTTGGAACACTGTGTACACTTCTAGTCACCGTATCTCAAAAAAAGACATTACAGAGCCGGAAAAAGTACAGTGGAGGGCAACCAAGATGATTAGGGGGATAGAACACCTTCCCTATGAAGAAAGGCTGAAAAGTTCCAGAAAACAGACAACCAAAGGGGGGGGGGGGACATGATAGAGGTTTACAAAATTATGCATGGGGTAGAGAGAGAGTTGATAAAAATTTTCTCCCTCTCCCAATATTGTCTGGTGTAACGCCTTTTGTGTTTTTCATCACAGGAAGCCATGTCCTATTTATTTTTAAACTCTCTTCTTTCCTGTTGAAATTGTTTATGTTTGTGAATTTTAGCTTACACATTAATATTTAGGGACTCCAGGAAGGTTGCAGGAGCCCATTCCTTTCCTGCGTGTGCACCCACTCCACTCCTCTACTGAGGCTCTACTGGAAGACCCCTGCCAGAGTCCTTATTGATGGTGGTGGGAAGAGCCTTCAAGTCGCGGCTGAATTATGGCGACCCCGTAGGGTTGTCAAGGCTAGAGATGGACAGAGGTGGTTGGCCACTGCTTGCCTCTGCAGAGCGACCCTGGGCTTCCTTGGTGGTCTCCCGTCCATGGACTAACCAGGACCAACTGTGCTTAAGTTCTGAGAGCTGAAGAGATCGGACTAGCTTGGGTCATCCAGATCAGACCTGGGGTCCTTCCTGGACGGAATGACTTCTGTCTATCAAGAGAAAGGAGAGCCTTACCCAGAGAGGCCACGTTCTGACCATTCTCCTCCATGACTTCCTGGTGAAGCCTCCTTTGGTCCATATCCAGCAGAGCCCACTTTTCCTTAGTGAAATGAACAGACACCTCCTCCAAGGTCACCGGATCCCTGAAAAGAGAAGCAAACAAACTCTTCTGTCTTCACAGATAATGTAAGAAATCTTCCCCTTCCGAGGACAATCCAAAAGGTCAATAGTAAGATGCTGGCATTCAGGAACCAGACCTCCATTTTCATTTTCTATCCAGTGAGCGGCACAGATAATAGCCGAGGGAAAG